AAAAAAAAAAAAAATGACAGTGGTGATGATAAGAGAGACAGGACGAACACAGCATACGCATGTACAAAGATACATGAACGTATACATATATGTCTACGCCACCTCCACCACATGCCATCATTCATCCATTCAACCTCCTCCCCTGCCGTTTTCGCTCGTTTTTCATTCACTTGTACATGTCATTTCATCAGGCATGGCGTGACACTCATCCCCGCTTCTCCTTATTCTTCCCTCTGAAACTCGCTGTCTCTTACACAGAAAGACACCCCACCTTTCTTCATCCTCCTTTTTGCTGACTCACCCTCTCACTGAGCTTCACTCGCCATGCGGTCGTACTCAGCACGGGCGAAACGATCCCAGTCCGTCTTCTCTGGCTTCATCTTTTGCTGATGCTCTGCAAAGGGGTCGCGATGCTCGAAGAGCATAAACTTTGGGGCATTGAAAACCATATTAAAAAAGTTCGATGGCGTCGGACACGCGCGAAGGTCGCTGAGCGTCAAGCTAAACTGGTTTCCTTTCTCATGTGAACAACCCAACATGTCGATCATCTGGCACATCATGTCTCCGTACGACAAGTCCCCATCCGGGTTCTCAGCGTACTCTAGAAAGCGCTGCTGGTTCTCTTGGTAGAACTCGTAGAGTTCATACCCACTCAGAATACCATCCCCGTCCACGTCCAGTACCTTGAACCAGTAATAAACGGCAGGGTTGCTATTCTTGTCCTCCTCTGAAAGGCAAAAATACACAAAGTCTTCGAAGTCAAGCTTTTCCGGTTCGCCCGACGTAAGCGGACGCCCTGCGCCTTCCACCACACGCTTCAGTACAGAGGCACAGATGGAACCTTGACCGTACTTGCACAGATCGTCAAAGCCGACGAGTTGATCACGGTCTGTATCCAACTCCCAGAATTTACAGTACAGCACATAAAAATGCTCATAAGAGAAGTACTGCAGGACAAGATTCACATCCTTCTCGTCGACCTCTTGCATGACCTCAGGTAGGTCACTACGATCAAACTCGAACCAACTGATGCGGCCACTTTGTTGCCGCTCCAGGGAGTATACAATGCGGATGGCGACGGTGCGGCAGTAATACTCTTGGAACTCCGGCTGCTTGAGGAACTCCAGTCCAGGGTGGGAGTCAACAAGGTGGCGTGCTACGTCCTTAAAATCCTGCAGGGTTAAGTACTCTACTCGTGGGTCGCTGCGGATCAGCTCAAAAAGGCGACGGTTAACGGAGAGACTGCCAAGCACGTTATAATAGTAGTTCGATATCTGCTCGTACGTGAGAGCTGCCGACTCTGAGATGCCAGAGACGGTCGTAATGCGGCGAAACAATGCGTCTTTCATCCACGTCGGTACACCAAACACATCCTGGCAAAGCATACCAAACTGACCCTTGCGCACTGTTTTCGTTGTATCTATTGGCACTGCGGATCCAGCCAACACCTTGCGGTTTACTGAAGAACCTTTGATAGCGAAAAAATTTCTTAACGCCTCCTCTTCTGCTTCCGAGACAACATGCAGAGCCCCCCTCGTCTCATCCTTGCTATAGAATGTGGGTATATCCTCAACCGTCGCGCGCTGCACATTGGCAGGCGGCATTGAAGCAAAACTGCCAGACGAATGCACAAAGCGCTGCGATTGCGTCATGCTTCCAGCCATGTTAGTGTCGAGAGATGCGAACACCTCGCCAGGCATCATAACGGCATTGACACTTGTGTCAAGACTAGGGCCACCGACTGAGTATGCGCTCGGCGGTGAAGCTGTCCCGCTGCTGCCACCGTGCGGAACAGGCGCCATTGGGTCCACCACGGGCTTCGCGTGCAGAATGGAGCTTGGTGATGGTGGATTCATACTACCGGGAGAAACAGCGCGGTGCGGGTAGTCCATCTCGTCGACACCGAAGAAGCGCGGCGTCTGGACGGGACTTGGCGTCCGCGGCACGTCATCGCCCAGCCGACGAGGTAGACGGCTGGGCGATGACGGGGGCGGAGACACGCTACGTCTGGGCGAACGAGGTGCGGGTGATACGGCGGATTCCGCAGAGCGCGAATTGTGCGCATCCGCTGGCCGTAGCTCTTGGAATGGGTGCTCCTGCGCCGCCCCATAGCGATGCTTCACGACAATGTCGTCAGTGGGGCCCCCATTGACTTTCTTGTGCGCCGCATGTAGTACACTCTCGATGGCTTTTTGAATCTCCAGTGCACCGCCGTCACTAGTTGCCCATGTGACGTAGAGTTCTGATAAGATGACCTTTACAGCCTGCGTGTTGCGTTGATGGTAATTCAGCGACGTCATCAGCAGCAAAACAAAAATAAAAAAACAACGCACCCAACCACGTCAATCACTCTGAAATCGCAAACAGGCCCCTTACTACACACGCAGTAATTCCTCTACAGTAGAAGCCACCAGAAACAACACCAGCAGAACCCCAGCTTCACAGGGTTAGGAGGGTCTGCTTTCCTTCTGTATTGTTCCTTTTTTTGTTGTTGTAGGGCTGTTGGTTCTCTTCGCCCACCGTTATGTCTGCTTTCCTTCTCTCACTCTCTCTCTCTCTCTCACACACACACACGCTTTCCTTAGCAGTGCTGGTTGCACGTTTCCGCCCGTTTCTCCTATCCTCGTGCCGCTTTGCCCGTTCAAACTGGCGCTGAAGACGGCGTGAACTCTTGCTGCGTGTTGATCCTAAAGCAGGAGGAACCACCCAGCCACGCCACTCAAAACCAACACAAACAACAGCGACGGCAGAAAGAAGAAAAAAAAAAAGATGTGAGCCACACCCGATAGCCCACTTCTTGTCTTTGCCCTCTAAATTAATTTCTTCCTGCTTGCCTTGTTTCGGTTCCACTCTCTTTTCCCTCGCTTTTTTCTTTTTCTCTCCACCTTCCCTCTCTTCTCTTTCTACAGCCAGCAAATTTCTAGCTTGTGCGTGTGAGCAACGCAGTGCAAGCCACTGCCACAACAACAACAACAACACACACACAAAAAAACAAAAACAAAAAAAAACAGCGAGGGGAACGCGTATGCGAAGCGGACAGCTAACCAAAGAACGAAAACAATCGAGGTGAGAGGGCACAGCGGTACGGCTATAGAAGGGCCCAGGTACCTTGCTTGCTGCTCTTGCTTTTGCTGTTGTGTTTTGTTGCTGCCTTTCACGGTCGAGTGATGCAACACCAACACCTCCTGCCGGTGAGATTCCTCAACGGCAAGATATCAAACTTCTATTCTTCGCTAGTTGTGCAGAAGGTGGGGAAGGGAGGGAATTGCTGTCAAAAGGCAGACGCAGACAAATAGAGACTCACAGTCCAGTCACTCCGTGGGGTATTAAAACGACAATGACTGCACCACACATAAGAGAAACGCAACCCTTCGTGTTGCTAGAGTTTGCTTACATCAGAGTTTTCATTCTTGGTATGCCACTCAGCATACAGACGTGCCCCTCCTCTCGCACTCTCTTCCCCCCTTTCATCCATCTAGTCCACCATTCACCCGTTACTCTGCCGCTGCAACAGCCTGAGCTTCGACGCCGCCTTCCTCTGCTGCGGCTGCCTCTTTCTTATCTACCTCTGCCTGCTGCGCCGCCAGCCTAGCGATGAGAAGCACCTTCTCCACGTTGTCCCCCGCAAAGGAGTGCAGCTGCTTTCCGTAAGAGTAGGCAAAGAAGGAGGGGACCGCCACCACCTCCAATGACTGGCACAATGCTGCCAACTCGTCGCTGGCGTTGACTACCACTATGTTGAGCGCAGCCAGCGCGCTCGGCCGCTCCGCGTTCAACTTCTCCAGGTAAGGCATGACAGTACGCGAGCAAAGGTTACAGAACGGCGCCAAGACGGCGACGAGGCTGCTGCCCTGATGATTCAGCACCACTGCGTCAAATTCCTCCTGGTTGGAGGCGTAAAGTACGACCGGCGGCGGCGGCGGTGGCGCCTTCTTCTTCTTTGATACCGACCGCTTCTTTGCAGGCATACTCCTCTCTCACCCCTTTTTACTCCCTCGCGCAGGGATGTGTGTGTGTGTGTTTGTTTTTTTACAAAAAGAAAAAGATAACAAAACAGTGAGGAGAAAAAGAATGAGATGCGTGGACGTGAGGGAAGCACGGTGGTGTGGTTGGGCCTTGCACGTGCACGATGGTGCCTAGTGTGGCCATGCCAAGTGGGTCAGTAACAAAACGACCAAGAAACAAAGAAAAAAGTAGTTCGATCACAAAGAAACCACCAAAATAACGTCATATGGATTCATGAATCTTTGGAAATATTATATGAAACAGCGAAGTGTCTCTGTCTCACTGCACCACGCACACACGCAAAAAAAAAAAAAATCCTCCCCCCCATCCCTTTACCCACCTTGTTCTGTTCTTCACGCTTTCGTACAACACGATATCAATGTGATTTTCTCTTTCCGCTCTCATTGCTCTTGTTTTGTTAGATCCCCTTTCCCCATTTGTGATGCTACGCTGCCGCGTTACACCACCATTACCTCCTTTTTTTGGCCTCTCGCACGGTCTCCACGGCCTTTATATGATATGGATGCCTTCTTTCCTTCCCTACACGTAACTGCGTAACACAACAGAGAAAGAGAGAGCCAGTGAGTGACGCAAGGCTCATGCGCTTGTTTCTGCACGTCATTACTTACCGAGTGCGTCGAGAGCCGCCTTGAGCGCGCTGATGAGATCAGCTGCATCTTCAATGCCACACGAGACACGCACAAACCCATCAGTAATGCCGACTTTCATGCGGTCTTCCGTCGTCATGTTGGCGTGCGTCATGACTGACGGGCAGGTGATGATGCTCTCCGTCGCGCCGAGGTTCTCGCAGAGCGACCACGGCCTCTGAACGGTGTCCATTAGCCGCCGCCCAGCCGCGGTGCCGCCGCGTACCTCGAACCACAACATGCCGCCGTGGAGGTTGTTGGCATGCTGACGGTCAGCGAGCGCCTTCTGTGGGAAACTCTTGAGGCCAGGGTACATCACACGCTCCACAGCAGGGTGCGTCTCGAGGAACTCTGCCACCTTTTGAGCATTCTCGCTCTGCCGCGAAATGCGCAATGACATCGTCTTGACGGTCTGCAGCTGAAGAAACGCCACAAACGGGGACATGCAATTTCCAAGAATATTCTGCGTGAGACGCACTTTCCCGTCCAGTTCCTTGCTCTTCGTCACCAACGCACCACCAACAGTCATGTTGTGGCCATCAACAAACTTGGTCGTGCTGATAAGCGTCACATCAGCACCATGGTCAAGCGGACGCATGATGAAAGCAGTGGCAAATGTGTTATCACACATGTGAATAATACCCTTCGCCTTGCACAGACTCGAGAGTGCATCTATGTCCGTCAGCGTCAGCGTTGGGTTTGCCGGCGACTCAGAAATAACCAATTTTGTGTTCGGTTTAATGGCTGCCTCAACATTCTTGACATCACGCATGTCAACAAAGGTAAAGCTCATTCCAAGACGCGTAAAAAACACACGGCAGGCACGATTTGTTCCACCATAGCTGCATTCAGTGACGATTGCATGATCACCGGCACTCATAAAAGACGAAATAGCTGTCGTTGTCGCAGACATCCCTGTACTGTAAACCGTAGCATATTCGCCATGTTCAATGGCGCAAAGCTTTTCTTCCAGCGCAGACACTGTCGGATTGGCGCTTCGGGTGTAGCTATAACCCTTTGCCTGGTACCGCTCAATAGACTCCTGCACAAAGGTCGTGCTTTGGTACACCGGGGTTAAGATAGCTCCGGTCACTGGATCCGGCTTCACACCACCATGCACCAACAGAGTTTCAAAGCCCTGCGCTTGCGGTTGCCACGAGCCTGAGCCTTCAGAAAAATCAGCAAACAAATGTTGGGCACCAGACATTTCTTTCTTCCTTAAAAAACAAAAAACAACAACACAAGTGTTCCTAATCCTCCAACAACCCCCAACCAAAACAACCAGAAAAACAGCACAGCGCAATCAAAAACAAAAAAAACAATACAATCATCCCACACACAGCAACATCAAACAAGGAAAAGAACACACTATTCTCCTCCGCGTATGTCAGCTCAAACTGTGCTTTGGATGTCTTGTTGCGGCATCACAGGTGGCACGCGCCACGGTTGCATGGGCGCAATGAACGTGGAATTGAGGGGGGGGGGGACGTTGGTCAGAGTGGTGCATGATGTTGTCTCAGTCAGTGGCTCCTGGTATACTTTACCTGAATATCGTGTTGTGCATCAGCAATGCCATAATGGGGAAGGGCCTCTCTCCGCTCATGGGCAAGCATCTCGTGCCTCTTGAACCTGCAGTACTGACGGGTGTCACAGCTACCACATTACCTGAGGGCACTGTTTCGGTTGTGTGTGTGTGTGTGCGCGCGCGGGGAAGAGGGANGAAGAGAGGGAGTTTGGTGCAGAGGGGTGTGCGTATACAGCGGTGCGGCACCCACTCAGACATTGCGTGGCCAGCGGCTGCCGAAGCAGTACGCCCCACTACAGCTTCGTACCGTCATGGTCGATGTCAGATTTTACCCTACGAAGTATGTTGTCACATCATAGGTGGTGCCCAGGTTTTTCTTTTTTTACTCTTGCACAACACTGGCGGACGCCACCGGCACGAGGCAAGAAAGCCAGGGTGGATCCGTGTAAATTGTGCGTGTTGCTACATGCGTGTGCGCGTGCCACCAGTCAGAATAAATAGCGACGTTCTC